TAAATTGTTTGTTAAACATCATCAAAACAAGAAGGCCAACAAAGTCTGCGAAACCACTCAAAAGCCACCCCCTTCAAGGTGCTAATGAATAATCGAGTCATAATAGGGTCATTACCCACTATATGACCGGTCTGCGCTTGGAAGTAATAAATGTGTTGGGTAGGAGAACCCTTGCCATTAAATTGTACTAAGTTAAGCGGTTTGAATTTCGGAGGATATGGGATCATATCCCATTCACTTGGATATGGTCTTGACACCCCCAACTCTTTGAAGTTTCCTTGAAGCTTCAGTGCGTCAAGCTGCTTCTGGAAATCATCCCACTTTTGATCCCGTACTTTCGTATGAGGATTAGTTTCAGCTTCGAACGATTCAGAATGAATCTTCACAACCTTTTCCTCATCATCGTCTTCATCATTGCCATTTTGGTCTTCATCGACGGGTGAAGGTCGTCTTTGCCTAGATCCCGAGGCATGGGAATGAACCTTCTTCTTCTTCTTCTTTTCTTTCTCCTCACGGAGTCTTTCCACCATTGCTTCCAGGCATCTGATGGACTCCTGCTGTTGACGAATGGTTGATTGTTGCTCTTCCAGCTGTCGCGATAGCTCTTCCTCTTTTCCTACCATGTGAGCACTTTCTTGCTCGCTTTGGTCTGTATTGGAGGGTTGAAAAGTGGCAATGACAGAATTTTCAGGTTCTTCATCGACATCATAGGATATACCCGCTAGTTTGCGGTAATTTTTTGGGATCATTGCTCCAGTACAAGAATGAGTGTGTTGGTAAACACCCTGGCTTTCAATGAGTGCCTCTCATAATCCGGAGGATCTTTCAAAATCAGATGACTCAGAAGTTTCAGCTGAGGCTTTGCTTTTACCCTTGCTGACCATGTTGATCGTCACTTCAATGTGGCAATTCTTGGACGCTTGTTTCTTAGGGCGAAAGAGTCTTCTTCTTGATGATGAGACCATCGGCGGTTCAGTTAACCGTTCGAATACTTAAGGCTTATGAGTTGACTCCCCACATCAACATTGGGAAAGTACTGTAGAAATAAGTTTCTCACAGCAGTAATGAGATTGCATTTGGTTCATGCTGCGCTTGTGCGTGAGATAATCCCGAAGGTCACCAGCTGGACAACCCCCAGTTGACTCTGTCATCTTGGCTTTACCCAAGTGAGACCCTCTGAATGATAGAGGTTGACGAACTTGGGTAGACTGACGAACTCCATCATTCATATGACGACATTCGTTGGTAGAACGAGCTCGACGCTTGTGCCTTCTCAGTTGGCTCTTATCATGAGGTTCGTTTTCTTTACGAACATCGGTATGAACTGCTTGTTGAAACTGTTGAACCTCTTTTTGAGGATGATGTTTGTTATCTGGGGCTACTCGGGTACGAGGATGAGGTCCGTCTTTCGGACATTCCTCATTCACCTAACCATCGTCAGACTTGTTGACTTTATGTTGATCAACCCTCAGTCGATAATGAAAACTGTCTAGCGAGACCAAAGTTCGAGCTCTATGGCGAGCTTGATTCTGACGCTGACGTTGTCGAGTGCGTCTCGACAGTGAACCAGTAAGAACCTTTGCCTCAACCGAAGCTGGACGAGGTTCATTTTCAAAAGCTATAATTTGGCTAGTAGAAGCCGAAGTTCGGCTAGGTTGCTTGACAACTCATTTCTTAGCCTGACAACTAGTTTCTGGAGCCTCCTCTTTGAGGGGCTTGGACTTTTCCTCGAGACTGACTCGAGTTGAATCATCAGAAGCCACTTGGTCTGAGGTCTGATACAAGACTCGACGACACTTACGTGCCTTCGTGGGACTAGACTTACCAGAGGAGAGATACTCCTCATATTTAGACTGGTCAAATTCAATGACCAAAGTCTCGACGTCCGTTCCTACTGTAATCTTGTCTGATTGCGTCACCACCATCTCGTCGGAAAGAATAGCTGCTCTCACTGTGGTCGCCATCGTATGTAGGATCGAAAAATTTAAGGATTGATTGATTCTCTTGTTTTAAGAAAATTAGGTTCGATCACTTGGTACGAAACCCTTACAATCACTCACAATCTCTCGATTACAGAGGAAGAGAAGATTAATTCAGCTTCTCTTACAATCACTCACAATCTCTCGATTACAGAGGAAGAGAAGATTAATTCAGCTTCTCTTTTGTTTAACATTAGTTCTTGGTAGCGAAAGGATGCTTCCCCCGATGCTTGAGTCGAGCTTTCCTCCTGTTGACGATCAGATCAAGGTTGCTTGAGCTTCTGATGTTCGTTGGCCGGATGGAATTGATGTTCGAACTCCAGATCCGTGCGTAAAAACTTTGATCTCTGATGCTTCTTGAAGTCCAAGTCTAAAATCTCCAATCAATCCACTATCCCCGTAGCCGTCGATGGCTATTTACAGGGTTTTAAGCACGTAACTGACGTGCTATAATCACGGGTAGAGGGCGTAACTATCTCCTCCAAATTAGTGCATGTCGTAATGTGCTCCTGAAGATTAGCCCACGTGACTGACTAAGTCTTTGGAGCCGTTACAGATAAATCTCACGCGAATGACGAGCCTCGTCTTTAATTAAAACGGGGTTCGTCAAGTAAGACGAGCCTCGATATACAACGAGGTTCGTCTTACTAAGCAAACTTTGTAGTAGACCAGTTTCTTCTGATGAATTTTGTCTTCACTGACTTCGTCTGACGAATCTCGTTTTTACTAATGAACTTCATCTTCGACAGCTGAGTCCAACTACGTAGCAAGTTTTGTAAGTTTCCTTTTGACGAGCCTCATCTTCACTAATGAGCTTTACGTCTGGTAATGAGCTTCGAACCTTGTGTCCAATGACGAACTTCGAACTCCGCATCCACTAGAGAACCTCAAACCTCATGTCCAATGACGAGCTCCGAGTCTCGTATCCACTAGTAAACTTCGAACCTCGTATCGAATGACGAGCTCCGAACCCTGTATCCACTAGTGAGCCTCGAACCTTGTATCCAATGACGAGCTCCGAGTCTCGTAGCTTTGTTTCATTCATTAAAGAACTTTGTCTTTTGACATTGAGCTTTACTACGTGGCGACTCTCGTTCTCGAGGTTGATCTTCACTAAACAACGAACCTCGTCTTTGATTGAGAAGGGTTTCGTTTTCCTGACCCTCCTTTTCACATTTCGAATTTTGGTATTTTTGAATGCCTACAGCTCGCACGGCCGCGAGCTACCAAATTGTGGCTGCCGAGCCACTAGATGGTGGCTCGCGCCCAGAAACGTTAGAAATGCGTATTTTGATAGGTTTTGGGATTCTTTCGTTCCAGAGCCTCCCCAACTACTTTGAAGCTATCCCTAAAAGTGGTTAAACAATTATTGTCTGCAGATAACGTCAAATCATCAGTTCTTATAAGAAAACGCTGCAATAAAAGCCTAGGGGCTCATCTATGGGGATCTGAAATTTTGGGCAAGGTGCTGCCGGTTTGAAGAGTGATCCACGAATTTCAGAGAGGACTAACAGATCTTGGCGAATCCCGACATAAAGAAGGAGCAATTCGAAGTATCTGAAGCCTCGTTCCCCCATTCCTCCGGATCAAACATTTTTTTGATCTCGAGAAGAGTCGTAATCTCGCTTGGTCGAGATTATCACTTCAACGATTACTTCCTTTGTGAAGTAAGAGCTTTAATCAATCTTCTGTCAATCGGATATGATCAGCGGCAGTCCACGGACTAACGCGTCCCCAGCACAGGCAAAGATCCCACGTAAGCAGTAGGTGATAAACGTCCACTGCGTTTGTTTTAAGAGAGAGTTGTAATCTTTTTTTTATTTTATTTGTGTAAGAGAAGTCTTATAAAAAGGCTCACTCTTTTGAACTTGTAAGTCGATAAACGATTGTAATGAGTTCCCATATAATGAAATCAACTTTCACCGCAAACAAGAGATTGTATTTATTCTTTTCCTAAGTCACTTAGGGAGATAAATACATAACTTTATTCTCATTTCTTCTTCAATTTTTCCACAAACAGCTGCAGACACGATGGAACTAGGACAAATCGAACAAAGAATAGTATTTAAATATTTTACATCTATTTGTATATTTGTACGAGCAGGTAATGATATTATTTCTATCGAAATAATTTTTCATATGAGAATTTATATTTATTCGTATCTAATTTTAAGGAGGGTATAATCGGAAAATTATTTGATTATTTTATTCTCACTTAAGTGGGAATATCAATTCCTTGTTAAAACGGTTGGGAACTACAATTCCCATATAAAGTGTGAATTGATAAGAAGTGGGAATATCAATTCTAGCGCCTAAAAATACATCGTGTTTGATACACATGAATAAAAAGTTAGAATTGCATTCCATTCCCACTCATTCCCACGTACCAAACGAGGCGTTAGTGATTCTTTACCTATTCAATAGGATTCGATACCAATGAGACCACTTGTTCAATCGTAAATAATTACTATTTAACGGACCTTTTTTTAATCTGTATTCCATGATAAATAAGAACACATAATTCTAAAATAATAAAACATTAGTTACATTACAACTGAATTAAAAAAAACGCCTAGTTAGCTCTAAAAACGCTTCATCATCTCTCATTCTCAAAACCGAAACTGTGTGGAATACTTTACGTGTAGAGGCCCACTTTTTTGCATTAAAGAGATCCTAAAATCAAAAGAGCTTGCAAGCTAAAAGAAACAAGAGAAAAAAAATTATAGAATGAAAAGATGGCATCACGATCTCACCTAACCTAACAATCGAATTTCTCAAGTCATGAATAAGGTGGACAAAAGAACAAAAGGGTCTGTTTCGGTGGTCTACAGCACATGCAGCCAAACATAGGCTGAACCCAAAGGGAACACGGACGCAATCAATCCGCAAAATAAACGGCCCGGGTCCAAAAGGAGAAGCATTAGCAAAGGTAATGGACCCAACCTCAAAGGCGGTTCTAGCACGTGAAATCAATTGCAAAACGCCACAGCCTAAGCATCACCCTCGTCGTCATCCCTTTCACCTTTAGCTTGACCAAAAGGATCCTCTATTTATGCTGCTCCCCCTTCGTTCTTTTGCCAATTTCTCTCAAAAATGGCTATTTCCATCACTCTAACGCTAAACATTGGTATATTACTGTTATGGGGATTGAAAGCTTCATCTTCTTCTGCGTGCAATTTTCCAGCGGTGTTCAACTTTGGGGATTCTAATTCGGATACTGGCGGTCTGTCTTCAGCGTTCGGCCCAGCACCACCGCCCAACGGTGAGACATTCTTTGGAAAACCGGCAGGGAGATACTCGGACGGCCGCCTCATCATTGACTTCATAGGTGAGTAGAACTCACTTTGCCGCATGCAACTTACATTGCACGCATTCATATAAGAAAATGCTTGATTATTTTGTAGATCTTGTTGACTAGACAATTTGTGCATCAACAATTGGCACATTAAGAAAAATAATATTTTATGCTATAATATTCATATCAAGAACTTGTTTCTTATTGATCCAAAATAATACGTACATTTCTATGAAGTTCTAAGAAATGAATCACTCGATAACGTGTTACTATAACTTTACTGATGTCTCTAAAAATAATAATAATAAACTATAAGTAGAAGTAGAACGAGCCAAAAACATCAATTGTGTAGGTAGGCTAGGGAGATTAAGACTAGGACTGGATGTTATCCCTAAAAACAAAGAAAAAGGAGAAGAAAATAAAAGAAAAAAAAGCTAAATATCATTAAAAAACCCTTAATTTTAGATAATTATCACAAAAACCTCCTTAACTTTCACAATATCAGAGAGCCCTCCTTAAATTTAGGGGTTACAAAAGACCCTCCTTATCTTTGAGATTTTATCAGAAAACTCTCTTAAATTTAGGGGGCTTTCTGATAAAATCTGAAAGTTAAAAGGAGTTTTTTTTTATAAAATCTGAAAGTCAAATGGGGGTTTGGTGATAATCACTATTTTGTGATATTTTGGAAGTTAAAAAGGGTTTCACGATAATTGTCCAAAATTAGGGGTTTTTGATATTTACCAAAAAAACCATTGAACTTTAATTGATTGATTTATTTATTGTAATAGGTGGCAATATGACAAACAAGTAAACTTTTCAGCATTGGAGAAATAGAAAAGAAATATCAGAAATAAAACCACCACGAAAATTACCTGCTTGGACTAACTTCCCAATAAGAAATTTTCAGTTTTGTTATAATGGTTAGCTGTCAAATACTAAGTATAATAGAGAAATGATCTTTAATTGAGATTTGGAGAGTCAATTAAGAAAAAATTTAACTGAAAAGTGGGTCAAGGTGATTGATTGCAATAAAAAACACTTTAAAGATGACATATTAATTGACAATAAAAAGTGCTTTATGTGGAATGACCCTATTTTAGGAGTAATTTCTAGGGGGAAAAACTATTTTTAGAACCATCTCAAATTTTCGAAAAGTTTTACCTACTAAAGTTCTACACTTAGCCTGTTTGGATGGAGGGTAGAGAGGGGGAAGAGAAGAGAAATTTCATTTTAACCCTGTTTGGGAGTTTCATTTTGGAGGGTAGAGGAGGGGAATGGAGGAGAAATTTGGACCAAATTCTTACACCTCAAATTGGGGTGTAATGGAGGGGAAGGGAAGGAAGAGGAAATTTTCCCCTTCTTTCCCTTCCCTAAATAAACTCCCAAACACACCATTTAAAGTAACATTCCTCTATTCGTAAAACCGTAAATTTTAAAGTCCCTTCCTAGCTGATTTCCTCATTTTTCCTGTGTATTCTCTTTCCTTCCACAAACTGTGAAACTAAATTTTCTTAAAAATTCAAAGATCGGGTGCCAGGTGGAACTTTTTAAAAGCTCAGCAGGTTTTCTAGGAACTTAAGTTCAGGGATGCATTCCCAAAGCTTTAAAGTTAATCATATTTTTTGCAAAGCACCCCAAATATGCATTCCCAAAGCTCTAAAGTTAATCATATTTTTTGCAAAGCACCCCAAATATGCATTCCCAAAGCTCTAAAGTTAATCATATTTTTTGCAAAGCACCCCAAATATGCATTCCCAAAGCTCTAAAGTTAATCATATTTTTTGCAAGCACGCCAAAAAAATCTAAGAAAGTTTTCTAAAGTTTACCCAAACCGACATTCAAGTAGTAAATTAGGGGCTGTTTGGATTGATTTTTTGAATAGGTAAAAGAGAGGAACGCTGTCAAAAATGTCAGCTTTTTGGCAGCTTTTCCCCAAAATCACCTCCATAAAAGGTGATTTTGGGGGAAAGCTGCCAAAAAGCTGACATTTTTGGTAGCTTTCTCCCCTTTTACCTATCTAAAAAATCAATCTAAACAGCCCCTTAGGGATTGAGATCCTTTACTAATGGATTCTCTACTAATATCTACTAATAAAGAGATCTTAGCCTTTGATTGATACTAATAAAGAGATCTTAGCCTTTGATTTATCAATCAAATGCCAAGATCTCATCCTTATCCTCTCCCTACTTTTGCTCATGAGGAGTCATGAGCAAAAGTAGGGGAGATAAGGATGAATATCTTGACCTTTGATTGATAAATAAAATGCCAAGATTCCATTAAAAAAAATTAGAAAGCTCCTCATTAGTAGAGGATCCCAATCCGTAAATTAGATGTAGATTCAAACGAATAATTTTATACAGCCAGTTTATTCCTCTCTGATAAATATCATTCTTTCCAGTCTTCCATTCACATGATTTTGAGTAAAAATCACCATTCTAAGGAAGTGTTTGCTGTCATTTTCTTTCCGATTCTGAAGCCAACGGCGTCGGCCTGCCATATTTGAGTGCTTATCTGAACTCCATTGGGGCTAATTTCTCTCATGGAGCCAACTTTGCAACAGCAGGATCAACTATCAGACGACAAAACACAACTTTATTTCAGAGTGGTTTCAGTCCCTTCTCACTTGATGTGCAGACGTGGCAGTTCTCTCAGTTCAAATCCAGATCTCTATTAGTCTACAAACAAGGTATGTGCTTTTAGAATAGGAAAGACAACTTTAAGATAGGCTAGTTAAGGGTGAATCGTGTACAAACTTTCACAAAACTATCTCATACATGATTCCTCTGCACCTTGATGCGTTCAACTTGCACAAAAATGATTCTAAACATTTTATTGCATAGTTCTTGAGTGTTTTTCTCATGAAGGGAGTTTGTGTCATTTTAAAATTAGGTCAAACAAGCAAAATTGATCCGCGCGTTATCGCAGCATTTGTGTGATGAAATTGAAAAATAATGGTTAAGTACTTTGCTTAGAAAATTCTTTCTTAATTTGTGGATAAAAATGTTTTTAGGATTTGCAATATAAGTAAATAAGTGTGAATGAACAAAAAAATGGTTTAAGCATATGGTTAAAAAAAATTAGTTTGTCAACAAAAATATTTTTTGGGTTTTTATCATAGATAAATTAATGCAGAAAATTTTAAAAAATAATGATTTAATCATTAGGATATTTCTAATGACTTTGGTAGTTGTATTGTAGATAAAGATAATTTTTTAAGCATATTAGTGTGGAGAAAGCAAAAAAAAAAGCTCATTTTTATTTAGAAGAAATATTAGCTAAAGCATTTGTACTACTGACTTGGTAGCCAGATAAGAAAATAAATAAAATAAAGTCTCATTTGTTTTACGTAGAAATATTTTCAAAATTTAGTTCCCAACAACTTCAATAATTCCATATTAGTCCCTTAAATCTCAATAATTGCTTACTAGTCTCTCAAATTCTAAGGGGTCTTACAATGTGGTCCTTTAGTGATGAAAATAACTCTTAGTTATGATTTCTCTCTTAAAACTCATCTAGCTAAAAAAAGATTATTTACAGTTTGGTAATCTAAACTTTACACCTTTTAACTTTAATATCAAATGTTTTCAGCAATAGATACCCTAAGGTTCACATATTTTTAATTTTAAAACCTCTAAGTTTTTTCTTAACACTTTTGTTGAGAAAAAGTTTATATCTTGTTAACTTTGATACCCAAAGTTTTTTTTACTCTTTCATACATTTAACTTTTTCTTAAACGTGAGGGTATTAGAGTTAAAAAAATGTTAAAACATTGGAGCACCAAAGTAAAAACAAAAAACTTTAGAATCTTTAATGTATGAAAGTTAGAAAATGTATAAACATTAGGGTAGCAAAGTGTTGTAGGCGTCTAAAATTGCCGACGGGCTATCACACGCAGCTCGAGGCATAGAGAAGACGATGAACGTTACTATCCGAGTCACAGAAACTTAATCGACATTAACAAGCGCATGAAGTGAGTCAACGAACCATGCGAAGCAATGGAACTTCGGAATAACGGAAACACGAACTGATCGAGAGCTCCACGTCACTTACGAAAGATGAAACACCCCCCGTGTCCCGTCCACTCCACAGATGATTCAATTATAAGATCTTGTAGATCTTCTCGACAGCTTTCCGACGCATCTTGAATCGGACGATTCTGAGTTCGGACGACGAAAATATGACTGAAACGAACAAGATGCGCAGAACTACGTTCCAGGCCTCGGCGAGACACCCAGGGGTGTCTCGGCCATGGCCAAGACACCCATAGATGTCTCGGCCATGGCCATGACACCCATAGATGTCTCGGTCAGGTCGA